TTTTGCTCTCTTCATGTATGATGTTCCTGATGTCATCCCACAACTCTTCTGGTCTTCGATCTTTAGTGTTTAATGCATCAAATCTGTTCTTCAGACGATCTGTAAATTCAGGTGGGATAAATTCAAGGTCATATTTTGGCTCTCGTAGACTTGTTTTCATTTTCTTCAGTTTCAGTTTAAATTTGCGTATCAGTAATTGATGGTCTGTTCCCACAGTCTGCCCCTTGCCTGGAATCTCCTTCCTGTAACTCTCACTTGACTGATATGTCTCCAGTTAGCTTGTCAGTATTTCCCAAGCCAGTTGCAGTCATATGCCATAGATGTGCCTTCTTACTTACCACCTATATCAAGGGTCTTATCTTGAAATAAGAGGTTTGAAATATCCCTCGTTTGGCTCCATTTAACCTGTTTTCTTACAAAGATTCTAAGGAACTCCAGACTCCCAGTTGGGATGATTTACTTCAGTTCCAGGGACATTTCAACTGCAGGAGAGGAAGCACTGGTTTGTGTGGTACAGTCATCTACGCAGTTGAGTGCCGTGGCACTGGGGCGTAGAGTTGAGGACAAGAACAGAGAAGGCACTGGTAGGCTGTGTGGCATGGTCAGAGACAATGGCCACAGCAAAGATGAAAGAGTGGGAGAAATCAAGAATGCTTCCTTTGTTTTCCAGAACCAACTCCATCAGCTGGAGTTTTTATGCCGGAATTTCTCCCCTAGCTTTATATATTCCTGAACTATCTTTGGGTGGCTCAGCTATTACAAATTTTGTTTCCCTTTTTCTCTTCCCTTCTGCTCTCTACTTCCCTCCCTTCCCTCTCCTGGCAGCCTTCGCATGGCGACAAGACGTCTAATCCTGAAGTTCTGAAATGGATGAATGATTTGGCTAAAGGCCGTAAACAGCTCAAAGGTAAATGTCAACCAACGGTCTCTTTGCCCAGACAGAAGCAAGCAGTTGACATATGACCCTGTGCTTCATGACAACTTCGTATTCATTCCACCTACATCTTCTGGAAGGAGCCTTGGTGACACTGTAAGATAAGCACTGGACTGCTCTGCTGGAGAAGGATGAGAATTTCTGCTTTGTGAAAACTTACAGCCCCAGAAGCCCTACACAGGGTCACTATGAGTTGGGATGGACTTGATGGCAGTAGGGTTTTTACGCCCCCTTGAGCCTCGTTTTCTCCCCTATCATGAAATAAAGAGTGCTAGGAGCCCCTAGTGTGGAGTTGTAGGACAAGCACTGGACCACAAGATTGGTTTGAACTTCAAGGTCGACAGTTCAAACTCATGAGCTGCTCCTTGGAAACCCTATGCAGGGTTGCTATGAGTTGGAACCGACTCTACGGGACTTAACAACAACAGCAGATAGTCCTGATGTGGCAGGACTGCTCACCACAAGGTTGGCTGTTAAAACTTAACCATGCCCTCTTCAGAAACCCTATTCAGGGTCACTGTGAGTTGGAACTAACTAGATAGATAGCTTTTAACAACCACACAGATATTCTTCAGGGAGCCCTGGTAGTGTAGTGATTAAATTGCATGGCTGCTAACCAGAAGGTAAGTGGTTCAAACTCAATAGCAGCTCCAAGGGACAAGGATGTGCATTTGTGTATCTGTAAAGACTGACGGCAGTGAAAATCATAGAGGTAATTCTACTTTGTCCTGTAGGATTGCTATAGGCAACAATCAACTCAATAGCTGTAGGTTTGGTTTGCTGTGTACATCCCCTTCAGTGTCTGCCTCCATCTAATCAGTTTCTTTACAGAGAGTCACAGGTGGGATGATTCAGTTCATGTGAAGTTTGAACCTTCTTGGGTTACTGAATTCTTGGCTGTTAGAAACAGAGGAGGCCTGAGAACACATTTCATCCAATCCCTCTATGCCATGAAAGAACCATTAATAGCTGGGAGGAGGCTGAGCCAGGTGGAACACTCAGTTCTCCTGCCTCCTAATCCAGTGTTCTTTCCTGTGCCTGTCTCTAGAGACAGTGCTAAGAGGATTCATTAGTTCTCAAATCCATTTTTAAAACTATCAGTATTAAGTTTCTATTAAATTCATTATTACTAAGGAGCTCTGGTGGTGTTACAGGATAAGTGATGGACTGCTAACCACAAGGCCAACAGTTCAAAACCATCAGCTGCTCTTGGGTGAAAGATGAGGTTTTCTGTTCCCATAAGAACTTCTAGCCTCGAAAATCCTATACAGAGTGTTTCTGAGTGAGAACTCCTTCAGGCATTAGTGAGCTTTCTGGAAGGATGGTGACTAGAGGACTGGAAAGAGGTTGATAATTTAGTAATGTTGAACTATAATGATGTAGCAGGTATATACAGTATGCAGTCTTTAAACACCAAGTCAGAGTCTACGAATAAAACAAATGTCACACAAAATGGCCAATGTAACTGAAAAACCAATATAAATAGTCACATTCAAACAAACTGTTTCATAGAATACTCAGAAATGCAATTTCCTATTAAGTCCCAAGTGGATTTAAATGATCTATACTGGTGTGGCGCTGTGGGCTAATGTGTCAGAGTGCAAAGTCATTTGAACTGCAAGGTCAGTAGTTCAAGCTCACCAGCTGCTCCTTGGAAACTGTATACAGGATCACTATATGGCACTTAACAACAACAACATACATAAGGAGCTCTGGTAGTGCAGTGACTAAGCAATTAGCTGTGAACCAAAAATTGAGCAGTTTGAACCCAGGAGCCTCTCTGCAGGAGAAAAGACCGGAGGCTGTGCTCCTGTAAACATTTCCGCCTCCGAAACCCAGTGGGGCAGTCCTACTCTGTCCTCGAGGCTTGCGTTGGAGTCTGCCCTACAGGGTCAGGATTAACTCGACAGCACACCACAGTATATACTGAAAGCCATATATAATAATGGTGATGGTAAAAGCTGACATAGCTCGTACTATGTGAAATCTGTCAAATTGGGGCTGGCCCACTCACCTCCTCTTTCTCATTGCTCCTGTATTCTTTAGTGTCTACTTGGGTAAGGCTTTCCAGAGTACTTGCATTTCCACAGACAAGGGACTCTTGACCCCACACCTCTTAAAACCAAAGGAACTAATCCCTTGAGTACAGAATTTCAGGTGCTGTGATAATGAGTAGGTGAGCATTGGGGGTCAGAGTATTCCTGGTTTTTTCCAGAACACTCCATCCTCTGAAATAGAAACCACTTGGTTCTTTCTGCATGTCGTCCTCCATGCCCATGTGGTCCCAGCTCTTAAAGCTGCTCTTGTAACACTTGTTGGGAAATGCTTGCTGTTGGTCCTGGTGATTAAAGACATTCGCCCTGTGGAAGGGGACCATTAGTGCTATTTAGTGGCGCTGTGAGTTAATGCGTCAGACTGCACAGCCATTTGAACTGCAAGGATGGCAGTTCAAGCTCACCTGCTGCTCCTTGGAAACCCTGTATAGGGTCACTATGGGTCGGAATCGACTCAATAGCACATAACAACAACTTAGCGATAGGAAGGGGAATGCCTATCTGGGCCAGTGAGTCCTCTACTACTTGTAACTCATGGGATTTTTCTCAGAACTAAAGCTGAAGCTATCAGAAGAACAAGGGAGTGCTCCCAAAGGCCAACCTAGAAACCTGTCTTGTGAGCAATCCACAGTCCCCAGAGAGAATGGGAAGCCAGAAGCCACAGGTCCTGAGCCCAGCTCCTCTGGAGAGGATACCACAGATGCTGTGTTGAAAAGCCTAAAGGAGAAGAGAGAGCAGGTTACTCCGCCGGAGGATCCTAAGGTACCTCATGTTATTTTCTTAGAACCTAACACTCTGTCTGGTGATTGTAAGATCGTGCTTTTGACCAGTGTTTGGGTACCACCTGAACATCTTCAAGGGACTGTCTTCTGAAATTCAAGTCCGCTGAGTTCCTAGTAGGTCTCTGGGTGGCACAAGTAGTTTGCAATTAGCTAATAACCAAAAGGTTGGTGGTTTGCGCTGACCCAGTGGCACAATGAACGAAATGCCCAGTGAGCTGTCCTGTAAAAATTACAGCCAAGGAAACTCTCTGGGTCACTTCTGCTCTGACAGCACATGGGGTTGCTCTGAGTCTGAATCGATGGAAATGGATTGGTTTTGGGATATCTATTTTCAGTTCCTGATAGGCTACTGGCCATAACCTATGGGATTGCCACATGATTTCAAGATATATTGCCATTTTGGAAGTTTTCGTTTTTTGGATTTCTTTTTTAAGCTTTTATTGCAAATTGTGTTTTATTTCATTGCAGTGATTTCATCATCATGTAAGAGTATTTGCTTCTATTCCCTCTGTTTTGTTTGAATGTACACAAAAATACACAGGAATAGACAATGATTTAAACAACCAACCAAAGGGCACATTCTGCAAGCCAGCCTCCTGGGCGCCAGCATGCAGCCTTTCACTTTGCATGTAGAGCTCTATCTCTCCCTCTTTCACCTCTGATTTCATCTCTGGTGTCACTTCTTCTATGGTTAAGGTCCCACGTTTTATCTGTAGGTTTCTTCCTTCTTGATGGTCCTAGCGTCCTCTGTTCCTGTAAGATTAACTACTCCCTCTTTTATGTTACAAAACTTCTACCTTTACAGTTGTGACATTCGCAAGTAGTCATGATAACAATTACTCACTATGGAATCATAAGAATCATATCCATATTTCCTTTCACTACACCCATCTGGACAAGATGAAAGCTATTCATGGAGAGTGTACCTTCTTCCGCACAATCTGAAACTAAACTCCCTCTTGAAAACTTGTAAGCCAGCCACTTTGTGCCTTTATAGTCCCCCATATTTTAGGTAGCCGATGTCTAAGTTGCTGGTCCCTATCAACCCTGTGTACCAAGGGGATAGGCTTGACCCTTGATGTGAAGACTCCTTCCCTCTCAGTTGGTATTTTGAGCTACTACATCCATACGTTAAGATCAAGTTCACCAAATTGCAGCAATTTACACTTGTTTCCTGTATATACTTGATAAAGGTCTGCCGGGAGCCAGCCCCAGCAAATTTATTCCAGGGTTCCTGAAGGTGGATGTGGGCGTCGGCAGAAAAAGAATTACACATAGTCGATAAATCGTGATGAATTCAAAATCTTATTACATGCTCTCTTCGTCTCTCATTCTTTACTCTCCTGTTCTCCTGTTCATCTTCATCTCTTCTTCTGCTTCTTTACTCCCCTCCCCTGCTCCTGCTTTCCTCCTCTTCTGCTTCATTACTCCCTTCCCTTGCTCCTGCTTTCCCCCCTGCTTTTTCTTTCTTTGTTCTTCTCCTCTCCCTTCATTCTTTACTCTTGACTCTCATCTCTACTTCTCATTCTTTTCTCTACTCCCCCTCCTTTACTCTACTTGCTTATTCTTTACTCTACCTCTCATTCTTCCTTCTCTTCTTTCCCATTCTTCTTCTCCTCTCCCTCTCCTGCTTTCATTCTTCCGCCATTCTTTTCTCTCCCCTCCTGCTTTCCCCTCTATTCTTCTTCCTACATGCTTTATTATTCATTTTCCTGTTGTACTGTCCTGCTCATTCTTTACCCTCCTGCTCATTCTTTTCTCTCCTCCCTCATCTCCTGCTTTCCTCTTCATCTTCCCTCTGCTCTTTCATTCTCCTCTTGCTTTTTTAATCTCCCTCCATTTCTTTACCCCCCCCTCCTGCTTTACCCTTCTTCTCCTTTTACCTTCTGCTCTTTCATTCTCCTTCACTATTCTCCTTCTCCCCTTCTGTTTTATTTTTCTGCCATTCTTTTTCCTTCTGCTCCTCTACTACTCATTCTTTACCCTACTACTTATTCTATCTTACAACCCCCTTATATACCATTACAAAAAACATTGTTTTCATAGTAACCAATGTCCTCAAAATACAATCTATTCTGGGGCACATTCTTCATGGTTTACAACCCTTAGATTTACAACAGGGATGAGAAGTTACAGCAAATAAACATTACATCAACACATACGAGAGACATCCTGGTGCCTTGAAACCTTTTAGTTAAAACATTTGTTCATAAATAACTTTTATTCTTTTCTCTGAGAAGCAAGTTAACCTTCACATATGTCTCTTAACCTTTGTCTGTTAAGTCTTAAGTCATCAATCCTAATTGTCAGGTGTAATTTACACATCCTTAACTTCCTCCATACACTATCTGTTTATAGCCTACAAAAACATCACTTATCATGGAAACTGAGGCTATGAAAACAATTCCCTTATTTTACTGATCAGACTTCTTATTTATGTAACTATAGATTCTCATAGCCCTTGTCTATAATTGTTTTTAGGAATCCTTGTACCCATAGCCTTTATTTATGGTCTAATTGTTTTTAAGGGTTCTTTACTGTCTTAAACTAAGGTTACAAGGAAGAATGTTTACAATCACTAAGCCTAAGCTGGAAGTAATTCAACTGACAAATCCTGTCTCCTAGCAGTCTTAATAACATTGTTAATATAAGTAAAAACTACCTATGATTACAAGTAGAATAAAATGTAGCTAATATATGGCTTCTAACTTTTAATAAAAATATACTAAAGTGTGGGAGAGTCAAAATCTAAAGTAAAGGGATACTAATAAAATCATGAATAAATCAGAGAATGATTCAACAAGAGAAAAATTAACCAGGGGCCTGTGCATAGAATATTTCTTTGTGGCTCTGCCATCCAAAGAAAACACTTCATTGTTGTTCTGCTAAAACAATGAGTCCTTCATGCGCAGGGTCCCCATCATCTCATTTATTTCAATTCCTTGATTAATATGTTGTTCCTTCATTTTTATGGCTCCCGCCAAAGGTCATCAAGTCAAACTCTGGTCATCAAGCCTAGATGGCTTAGTTTTGAAATAACTGTGAGACATCCAGGTAGAACAGTCAATTAGGCATTTGTACATAGGAATCTTAAATACAGATACATACATGTTGTTGTTGCTGTTATGTGCTGTAGAGTCGGTTCTGACTCATAGTGAACCCTGTACAGGGTTTCCAAGGCTGTAAATCTTTACGGGAGCAGAAAGCCTTATCTTTCTCATGTGGAACAGCTGGTAGTTTCGAACTGCTGACCTTGAGGCTCACAGCCTGATTTGTAACCACTATGCTACCAGAGTGTGTGTGTGTGTGTATGTATGAATATATGAACTATGTACCTGAGTAAGTATTACCTAGTCAATAAATCTTATCTGCACTGCACTACTAACCACAAGGTGCAGTAAGTTAGCTCACGGTACTTACATCGCAGTATATGCAGTGCATACCTAGGTTGTGAGTTCGAGCCTGACCTGGAACTCATGACCGTTTAGAGTCCTAATGTGGTGCTGTGGGATAATGCACTGGACCTCATGGTTGGTTTGAACTACCAGGTTAGTGGTTCAAATTCACCAGCTGTTCCTAGGAACAACACTTAGCAACAGTATGATGGCTGGCCATTATGGTTTGTGTGCCAGATGTTCCCCACCTCTGCTTTACAGAGCAGTCAGCAGTGGTAGCTGGGCACCATCTGTGGGTCTCAGGGTTATCTAGAGACTACAGTCCTTCTGGTACATAAGTCCTTGGGACTAATTGTGTCCATGCATCCTTTGTCACTCTTTGCTCTGGGCAAGACATGACCAGTAGCTGCACCTTAGATGTCCACTTACAAGATTCGAAGACCCCAGTCACTGCTCACCAAAGTAAACATATAGAACATTCTTTGTCTACTACATTGTGCCAGTTGATTTTGGTGGTCCCCAAAGCTATGATCCCAAGCCTGCATGTCCAATGACTTACTCCGTCCAGGTGTTTGGTTATGGCTAAGAAGATTGTACTCTACCCTGGTTGTTCTATTGTAAACATGGATGTTTACATCCAAATGTGTTTGTAGAAGAATCCTCTGCCAAACCTCCAGGTGGTCGTGAGTGTGTGGTCCCTTTCACCTGCACTTACCTGTTCATCTTGTCTGTCTATATTATCCACTTATGAATGAATGTTTGTTATTTTTGAGCCCTGGTAGCATAATTGATTACAAACTGGGCTGCTAACCCCAAGGTCAGTATTTCAAATCTACCATCCTCTCCCCTGGAGAAAGATGAGCCTTTCTGCTCTGGGAAAGAGTTACAGCCTCAGAAACTCTACACAGGGTTAGCTATGAGTCGGAACTGAGTCAGTGGCACACCACCACCACCACCACCACCATCACCACCGTGGCTACCTTTTCTGATTGCGCATGTAGTGCTATTTGCCTTTGTTGTCAGGAATTCTGTGGCAGCTCTCCATGATTTCCTTTTCTTTAGGGACTGTGTGTTGATCATCCCTTAAAGTATACCATCATTGTCTTCCCCAAACGAAGACTTCATGCTTGATAAAGTGGAGGGTCAGTGGCAGCGGGTGGACTCAAACAGAACAGTAATTGTGAGATGGCGCAGGACTGGGCAGTGTTTCCTTCCCTAGTGTTCTAACAGGGACCGTGTTAGTCAGATCTGTCTAGACGGCACCTGACAACAACAACATTACACAGTGGCTCTAGATTATAACCACTGGACTGAAAACCATAATGTCAGTGCTTCGAGCCCATTAGCCGCTCCACAAAACAAATAACAGGCTTTCTTCTCCTGCATGGCTTTCAGCCTTGGAAACCCTATATAGGGTTGCTGAGGGAGAACCGACCCAACAGCACTTAATACCAAAAACACTGTTTTTTCATTATTTTTTCAAAATGGATTCTTTACCCAATTCACACACACACACACACACACACACACACACACAAACTCTATTCTTTAATAACACCGTTGTTGTTACTATCAAGTTGGTTCCAACTCCTAGCAACCCTGTATAGGGTTTCCAAGGAGCGACTGGTGAGATGGAACCACTGACCTTGAGATCCAAACTGACCTCAACATCAGCTCAAACCACTGACCTTGAGGTTCAAACCTACTTTGCAGTCCAGCAAAATAAACCACAGTGCCACCACGCCAGGGCTCCAGGAAATCAGTGTTTTCTCCTTAATGGAGAACTCCCAATGGAGATGATGGAACAGAAATTTACATTTGAATTTCAGTGTTTTACTCTGTAAGAGTTCACAGGACCAGTGGCATGGGAGGAGGAAAACAGTTATATTGCAGTGTTTGTTGTTGTTGTTGTTTTAAAAAAACATTGGGGCCCAAAAAGAAACAACCATGACTGGAATGGCCACTCAAGTCTTTTTTTTTTTTTTTACGTCTCTGGAACCTAGGCAGTGCATCATAAAAAAATAAAAATGCAAAATTCAAATTAAAGGAGTTGTTGTTAGATGTTGAGTTGATGACAACTCGCAGAGTTGGAGTGCCCTCGTCGGGTTTTGGTAAGCATAACCTCACTGGAAGCACATGTCCAGCTCTTCCTCACATAGTGCTGCTTGGGTGGAATGTAAACCATTAACCTTTCAGTTAACAGCCAAGAGCTTAACCACGGCTCACAGGAGAAGGGGCATCAATACTGAAATGTACAATTCTCTGAAGTGCTTTCTATAGGATATAAAAACAATGGACTGTCCATTCCTACCTTCTGAGATTTACCCCAGGGTAAATGCTACTCTTGATTTTGTATGTTGATTGCTTTAAGGAGTTGGTACTGTTCAGCTGAGAGACTGCATGTTGTTTGGCTTTACATAGAGCTTTGAGAGTGAAATCAATTCCAGTCCTAAAGAGGGATTAGTGACCATAGTCTTGGGGATTACACCAGTCTCCATGGGACCAGGAAACTGGATCTTTTTTACTTTTGTCCCATCATTTCCTCCCACTGTAACCAGGCCCCTGTATTAGGTGTTCTACATAAGGGCATTTGGATATTTATAACATCATTTTTAGTTTTGTCCCATCATTTCTTCCCACTGTATCCAGGCCCCTGTATTAGGTGTTCTGCATAAGGGCATTTGGATATTTATAACATCATTCATGAGCCATATAAAATTTATCAGCTTAAAAATCAGCCTGCTATATTTGGTCAAACATTAAATAGCTAAGGAGCTCTGGTAGCGTAGTGGTTACAAATCGGGCTGTTAATCTTAAGGTCAGCAGTTCGAAACTACCAGCAGTTCTGCGGGAGAAAGAGGAGGCTTTCTGCTCCTGAAAAGATTTACAGCCTTGGAAACCCTGTACAGGGTCGCTATGAGTCGGAAGCGATGACTGGACGGCACATAACAACAGTGTGATAGCTGCAGCTCCAGTGGCGCAGTCGGTTAGCACTCAGTACTTACAAAGACGTACATGCAATGCAATGCCTAGGTTGTGAGTTCAAGCCTCACTTGGAACACGAGCCATATGTATTTCCCAAGGAAACTCCCCTTTTTAGAAACTGATTGGCTGCTCCCATTATATCACAAACTGGAGGCTCACATAATGTCTCCCAAACCACTGAGAATCATGGCGTAGTCAAACATGACCTTAACCATCATATTTTCCAAGTTAGTTTATGTCAGGACTAGCCAGTAAACTAGTTAGTGCATAATCCAAGTATTTTGTCGTAAAGGCCTGGACACAGTTGATGTTTGTGACTATAGCCATGAAATAGATCTCACCTATTGCTTGTGTTTTTAATGAAGCAGTGATAACAGATATTCACTGTTTTGCCTGCTAAAAATGTGTTTGGATCCTTGTCTGAGAAAGGAACAGTAATCAATTTTATGTTTTTCAGGTAACTAAACAAGACAAGAGCCTCATAAAGCCTCTTTATGACCGATACAGAATTATCAAGCAAATCTTATCAACACCGTCCCTGATCCCAACAATTGTGAGTCAGGATGCTTGCTTTAACTAGACCCCTGTGCTGATGTTGGCGTTGGTGATTGGTTAGGGAAGCAGCACCATGGATGTTACAAAGGCAATATCTGCTGTTAACATGGCCAGTGGTTACTACACATCATAGACAGTGGCTTTGCCCACTCCTAACACCATACCTAACAGTGGCTGGTAGTTAGAATGGTTGTGCTTACACAGTACAATTAGGACTACTGCATATTTGAAGTCAGTTTTAACATTTGCTTCCATCACCTTCAATGGGAAAAAGAAAAGACATTTATTTCAGTTTGGTATTGTCTGATGCTATTCCAGAGAGAGCCCTTCTATTCTTTGTTGGTTTTCTCCTTTAATACAAAAATTGACAGTGTGCTCCTTGATATAAAGAAGCATTTGATTTGTATCCTGTTTGACTATCATGGTACAAGATATGAGTAGATTTCTTTGAAAATAGGAGTACTGAAATTGAGTTAAGACTATTTTTAATAAAGAATGATGGAATACAAAACTAGAAAAGTACCAAATTGTGCTCCAATAGTATCAAAGAGATGCTTAAGTCATCAGTATAAAAACAGAGTAAGAAATGTAAATTTAAGTATATGTGAGTATTTTATATTTACATATTTTAAAGACATAAAACATAATGATTCAAAGTCTGCTATATTTCCCTATCTAAACTAGAGTACGATTTGCAGATACTCCTTGCAAAAGTTTTTTTTGGTTCTTTAGAACTTCAGAAAGTTAAGGCGTAACCCTGTTTTTCTTTAGCCTTCATAGACCTCTTCTCTGTATTGTCAGTTTGCTAAGTATCTTCTGTGCCTGACTGTGGCCCACCTGTGGACCTGATTTGGAGCATTTATAGATGACAAAACAGGACTCTAATCGATCCTAACCCATAATACTGGTTAGGATGGATTACATCCTAACCCATGATTCCAGGGAGGAATCAATTAGCAGTGCAATCCAGAACTGGGCTAGCTCCTGAATGGCTTTGCTTTCTTGGGCCCAGTATCCACAGATAAACTTATTAGTGAGCATTTTTAGCCTAGCAAAGGCACTTCTTAGATCTTCATCCTCTGAAAGCTTTTTAATGAAACCAAGAGTCTGTCTTAGGTGCTTTTCTTCCTGGCCGTTGGGAGGCACAGGGGATCATCTGGTAATCATCATGACCGTGACGTCCTTGTCCTTTTATGGTTCCTCTTCCTGGTGGAGCTTCCTCAAGAGACACTTAGCAATTTATGACTATTTAACTCTCTCTGTGGTAAGCAGGAGGAAGAGGACTCTGATGAAGATGATCCACAGGGAAGCCATCAGTCTTGTTTACCAGATCCAGCATCTCACATGCCTATTGGTGACCACCTCCCCTACTCCAGTGAGATTGAACCTGTTAGGGCCCTGCTACCAGATGAAAAGAAGGAGGTCAAACAACCAGCCCTCTCCATGTCCAATTTACATGAGGCCACCATGTAAGTGTGAATCCTAAATTTGGAGTCTCATTTTAACTCCTACGCAGGTGTACCTTACATATGTGTATGAAGTTCAAAAGGGTTAATAGACTCTTAATGAGTGCCATCCACCAAAAAGTAGTTCTCAAAGGATACTCTGGTTGTTTCAGAATTGGAGAATCAAGAAGACAAAGTCATGAGGAGCCAGAAAGATCCTAAAGATGCCATCAGAGCTAATGATCACTTCTCAGTGGTCAGACCTCTTTTCAGCTATCATTCTAACTCTAGCAGCAAGTGGAGCAGACCTTGATCTTGAAAATGTGAAACAATTCTCTGGGCTTCGTTAGAGCTCCTAAGTAACTAACATCCCTCAGTCAGGAACTGTTTGGACCTTGGACCGTCATTAGTATGTCATTGTTATTATTCATTATCAGTGACTGGCCTGCCTCTTGATCATTTGGCCTTATGTAATTTGTGTATTACAGCCCAGATTATGAGATTTTCTTGAACATGTAGTATATATAGTGCAATGAGTTTATACTCCAAGATAGGGATGAAAAGCACACAGATTTGAGGTGAGACTAAGGTTGTAGCCTAGTAGTTACAAATCAGGCTGCTAATCTCATGGCCAGCAGTTTGAAACTACCAGCTATTCTGTGGGAGAGAGGTGAAGCTTTCTGCTCCTGTAAAGATTTACAGCCTCGGAAACCCTGTACAGGGTCACTAAGAGTTGGAACCGACTCCAAGACACTTAACAAGAAGGTGTAAGGTGAGGCTTTAATGTGCCTAGAGAATCAGCTGGTATCTTAATTTCACAAAACAAACTTGTTTGGAAGCAGAAATTCCTTCATTTTTTGTTTCTGATGTAGTTCTAAAATTGTAGTTCCCCTAATTTTTTTGGTGTGTTGGACTTTTGTGAAAAGAACGCAATTTCTTCTTAGTACCATTGAGTCAGTTCTGACGAGCAGCTGGGAGTTTGAACTGCCGACCTTGTGGTTCGCAGTCCAGTGCTGATCCTACAGAAGTCTGGACTTACTTAATTCCCAAGCATATTGCTATTCTCCCCCCTTCTAGATTGGAAGGGTAACATTTTCTTACAAGTCTCTTCCTTTTGTGTTCTTGTATTTTACCAAATATTGATGTTTTCAAATTGTTTTTTCCTTCCTCATCCACTTATTTTGTCAGTACACTCAAACTAGTCTGTGCGCTTGCTGCCTGGTTTCCCTCCTTTCCAGTCACTTTGCTTTCATTGGGTAATTTCCTCTGCGTATGTGGTCCTCTCCCTGGAGCCCTGGTGTGGTGCTGTAGGATGAGCACTGAACTACGAGTCACAGGGTCGCTCTGAGTCAGGTACATAACACATGTGCTCCCTTAGGATCAGACTCTATATGGGCCAGACTCTGTAGGCAGAGCACTTGACATCATGATAATGATTTGTGCTAAACATGTAAATCTGCTCATGACAGTCTATTGGGCTGAGTAATGGAAATATATATTTCACCTGCTACAGGCCTGTACTCCTTGACCATCTCCGAGAGACTAGGGCTGATAAGAAGAGACTTCGGAAAGCCTTAAGAGAATTTGAAGAACAGTTTTTCAAACAAACCGGAAGGTAAGTGTGGGAAGAGATATTCTTTAAGCTAGTAGTTTCTAAAGACCTATTGCTTAGAATGCGATGCAGGTTTTTTGCAGGAACAGGGAATTGATACATTAAGTGTAAAAATTGTACTTACTTAAACCCAGGATTTGCAAACTGCAACATTCTATAATACCATTACTAGGATTGTTTTATGGAAGGCTATAGCTGTCAGTGGTGACTTGGATCTTGAAAAGGTAAACATCCCTAAGTTTGTATAACAAAGTGTTTAATTTTTTTAAACTTAAAAAAAAAATGATACCACCGTTGGGTTCTGGATTACCTCATTTCACAGATTATTCCATACTTCTACTAAATACTACTTCTTTTGCTTTAAACATCTCCTTTAAACTTTAGGATCTATCCCTAAATATTTCAGAATGTGTTCTAAAGTTCATATTTATCTTTTCTAAAGGAATGTTTAGCTTTTATCTTTCATGAGTCAACCCACATTTCATAATACGTTCCTTTAGTTTCTGCTAAATTTTGGCATTTTATCAGTGATAAGATTTTTTAAAAAAGCACACCTCACCATTGTGAGCATGAGTTTCTTTTGTTGTAAGATAAAATGATTGGGATCCTTTGGAGGCAGTGTGATGCTGTAGATCGGTACTGGACTGCAAACCACAAGGTTACCAGTTGTTTCTCGGAAACCCTATGCAGGGTCACTAATGAGGCAGAACTGACTCGATGGCACTTATGACAACAACATAGGTATTATATGAGACATCCATCAGTCTTTTAAAAGTAAAAATAAAAAGGTTCTAACTTTTCCAAAGCCCGAAGTTAAAGTGTGGCAGAGATAGGTTTCAGACCGGAAGCATGGAAACAGGGCTGTGCTGGCTTCCTGATTTCCCTTTGCATCAGGTTGCCTTTCTTGAATTGCTATCCTCTGCATTTCTGATGGAAATGGAAATGGACAGCTTGGTTTACTCAGTTCTTAGGCGGTGCAGTTTTCCATTTCAGACCTCCAAGGGTGTTCATTATGACTGACTGGACCTATGAGGTCAAGAAATGTTTATGTTGTACAAATACAAATGGAACTTACCTAGTTTTCTACCTGGAATCTTATTTTCTGGTTCTTAAATTCAACTTAAACTTACCTGGTAGGGGAAATAAGTTTGAATAGCTGACTTTTGTGATTGGAACCACATAGCATCATCTAAGTCTGTTTTCAACAATTTTTTGTTGTTGTTATGTGCCGTGGAGTCAGTTCCAACTCATAGCCACCCTATACAGGGTTTCCGAGGCTGTAAATATTTACGGAGCAGAACGCCTCATCTTTCTCCCACAGAACAGCTGGTAGTTTCGAACTGCTGACCTTGAGGTTCACAGCCTGATTAGTAATCACTACGCTACCAGAGTTGCAGGATATTAATTACCACAGATGATGATCATAAGGATAAAATGACATACATACTGTTGTATGCAATGAACAGATCTAATAATATTACATGGTTGATAAATTTGATTATAATGCATGATTTCATGCTTTTCTTTTTCCATACTTTTGTCTTTCCTTTGACAGTTTTCTTTGCAAAAAATTCCTTGAAAAAACTGAATTTGCCTACTAGGACTGCCAGCTACTATACTAAGGTTTAAGTTATATGTTGACTTATCTTAAAGTTTCTGATCTGTGCTTCCTTTAGATTAAAGGTACTTTTGGGACATTTTCATTCACGAAAATATGAGTGTGATATTGGTAATCCAAATCGAAATAGTGATTATATATGATAAACAAATCACTTTAATATATGCATAAATTCATCTCATAACTGGGTCCCTGACTAAATTTACATTTTTACCCATTTGAACTCAGGAGTTTGCGAACGCCCCATGGTTCTAGAAATCCTGCCTGGTGGATTTGCAGCGATATTGGCATGTCTTTTGGCATACAAGGATGTGCTTGCTAATTATGCTCTATGTTGTTGTTAC